CGGAATGACCTCAAGATCAACGTGCGGGAGTGTATACAAATGAGCCAAGCAATTTCGACGGACATGGAGGCCGGTGTGAGCAAGGGCCAGGTCATATCAGTGGTGTATTCTGGCGTGTCTGCAGGCATGCACAGCTCATGGATGATCATGACGGTCCTTCCTGAGGTTGGTGAGTGTGTCCGATCTGCGTGGACAGGGTCGTCCGGCATGTGGGCCTCAGACTGTGCCGAAGGCGGAACGGTGGGTCCAAAATGCTGATCTCTAACCCATTCAATCAACAAGGTCGGACAGCTGGCTCTCTGATAGTGCAAACGAAGTGCAGCCTCAATCGTATATGTCGTGTGGCAGTGTGCGCATGCCAGTCGTCCCGGTGTCATGTCCCGACTACGGCGAAAAATAAAGAAAGGTGGCTTCTCAACTTTGTGCTCTCGAGACAAGTGACCGGCCAAGGCCTTTCTGCCAACGGTTTCCAAACAAAGCGGGCATTGAAACGATTTCGAAGGTGCCTCAATGTGCTGAAACGGTTTGTTCAGCATGATCGGAACCGTGTCGAGTTTCGGAATCTTGGCAGCACGAACTAGCTGTCCATCTGCTTGCAATTCATGTCCATGTGTTGATACAGGCTTTTCAAGTCCTGTGGCAATCAGGAATCTGGTCTGACAGTATGGACAGGCATGCAGTGGAGTCGGCTGTGGACTGGTTTCGTCTACAATCATGGGATGAGTTGCGTCCAACTCAAGCCTCGTCTGCGAGGTGTGGTCATCAGGTCGAATACCTGGCAATGCTTGTGTCGGTGGTGGAATGGAACACGAGCTAGGGGTATCAGCAGAGGGTCGTGCGGCCTTCTGCATGACAGGCATTATCGGAAAATGATCTGGCTGGAAGGTGTATTCCATCATAATCGAAATCGGAAATAGAATCCCACATTCATAATTGCGTGTAGCTCGGCATTCACTGTCACAGAAGCTAATAAATATATAATTTTAAATATATTATAATATATTCAAATATAATTCCAAATAAATCTATTTAGATAAAATCCATCTTCCCTAAAATTAATTAAAATCGAATTATTACGAAAATATCATAAAGAAATATAATTAATAATCCTTTAATTATATTAAAAAACAAATTATATTTAATAAATATCATACATATAAATTATTTTAAAACCGTATATATTACATAAATATTATGTTCTCGTATCTAAATAAAATTCTTAAAAACATAATATTATCTATAATATTAATCTATTAATCATTAAAAACAATATATATTTATTATATTTCCAAACCAATAAATATAAATCCGTTTAAATTTATCAACTAATTTTTCTTTCAAATATATATATATATAATTAATTTCCAAAATTATATAAATTATTTTATATCAAATAACATATATATTAATAAAAATCATCAATTTCAAAAACAAATCCCAACCGCCCATCAATAATATTATCTAATAAAAATATTAAACAAAAAATTACATATTTCAATCCACCAAACAAGAGCCAATCTATTCGACCGATTTATATATAACCCTCCAATATATCCAGGTTTTCAGACCTTTAGAACAAAATATTATTCCTCAAGACGTTATTATTATCATCCCGTAGAAATTAATAATTTCCGTGCATTCGGAAAAGGCCAATAAATTTCACCATCATATCTAGAAATTGGCCGGCAAAGAATCATTCAATTAGCATTATATATCAATTAATATATATATATACTATATAATATATCATAAATTTATTTAGCCATCTGATATAGATGATTGTTTAATATAACATATTTTGTATATGATATGTCTATATATTTTATAGCAACAAACTCCCAGGTTCAGGTGTCTGTGCCATATTATTGTTTGTGAAAAAGGCCCGTGGCTCAGTGCTGCCTTGAGTACCAAACCAAGAACTCAGGATACGCCTACGGGGGCTGACATTGCAGTCGTCAATTTGTGAGCATCATGAATACAATGATTCAACTATGCGTAAGAACATCCGCATCCTTGATATCACTATAGATCAAAGTACACAAATAAGCCAATATATGAGGCCACCTCACTCCAACTTGCAAGACAACACCATTCATACTGCTGCCTGATCAGTGTCGAAAACGATCATTTCCCGGAACCTCAGTCATTCGTTCTGTGATTTCGTTGGCATTGTTTTATGTGGAACTTGCAGTATACTCACATTACAACGCCATTGAAGGACTTAGCTCCTTGACGTGCTGCGAATCTGCTCACGATCACCCAGGACTGAATGGTTGTCACCTTTGGTGCAATGCCTGCAAAGTTCTTGATGACAACAATGCCCCATGCGGCTTTGCACCAATCTGTGTGATGACAAGGTCAAAACCTAGTATGGTGATTTCAGATGATTTCAGAACATCAAAACATGGGCCCAAGACCGACATGACTCTGCCTCACCAATGCATTTGTGTTAGGATATTCTTCATCAGTGTACCTCACACACAACAGGGTCACGCAACAGCACACGTCTTGAGGCTTCACGTCTTGAGGCTCGGACAATATCCGACCTAGGGTGACCCGGCAAACCAACATGCAGCACCAACCTGGGCAGATCGAGCATGGCCTCATCGGGAGCACAAAGACAACGACAAACATGACAGGTTGCACACCTCTGGAATCTTCAGTTGCGTACCTGCCGATCGGCCCGATCCGCTAAACCGTTGCAGTGGAAAACCACATGATTTTCAACACCAGCTCGCCAGTGCATTCTAGACCGTCACATGGAGACAACATGCGCTGATCTGCGTACATAACTGCCTGTCCCACTGCTCATTGTGCAAATTGCTATGCGCACTCGTCGCTCTTGCCGGTGCTCTCGCCTGAAGGTTGCCCATGATGTGTTTTAATTTGTTGAAATGTTGAACATCTTCGAGGAAGCGACTGAAGTAAACACCTCGGCCATAGAGTGTCCCAGCCTCAAAGCAGTGCTTTCAGTGACATAAGACCTACCTTGCAAACCTTGAAATGCCTAGCCGTATCGTACCAGCAAATGAAGAAACACATGTACATAAGTGTACAATAGTGTACAGTACTGTCAGCAATTCCTCCCACTCAACTTGCCAACATGGGACAAAGCAACAATTTGGCGCAGCTTACTTCAGAAACTATCATAAAGGACCAACAAAAAAACTGTGTACGATATACACTGTATATACACCCAAAAAATAACGCAATTAACACTCTGGCATGAAAACGTTCTTGCCTACATGCCTATACCCCTCGGTACTCTTGCACAAAAAGTGTATTCTGCCAAAAGTTTCGCAGCCACGGCACATTCGATCCCGCCAAATCCAAGCGAAAATCGCCTGCTGTTCGGCTGACCGTGGTCTTCGTGACAAGGAAACATAGAACAACACACATCAATGGACATGATACTGGAGACTTGTGTTTATGTTTCCAAGTAAAATTATGCATCCAACCGCTGCTTTTGACATGCCATTACTTCGAGGTGGCAGAAGGTACGTAAGAAACTAATCACAGGCTACCGTTGCATTTCCAAGTGCAAGAAACGGACTTTGCTGCTAACGTATTCACAAATTATAGCAAGCACAAAGCAGACCCGTACTGCCCAGAACCAGCCTTCTGTAATGGCGTTGGCAGCCTCAGGTCTAGTACCTCCAGGGACAACCACTCAGTGACCCTTCAGCTCTGATTAACATGTCTTTTGGCACGGGCCACAAAAAAGCACTATTTCCATAGGTGCCATATCTGTACTTTTGTATATAGCATGCAATTTCAAAAATGTTCATTTTGCAAATGAGCCTTCCGTGAACGTGTGCATTACCCTACAACCGCACCGCACATAGTCTCCAGAACAACTGGTGGGCGGGAGTTTCAAAACACTGAATCTTACAGGAATGTCGCTGGTGTGTGATGAATGAACAAGGATGATTACTTGTGGTGTCACATGATCATGTTCGATGTTGTAGTGGAAGTGTGCTGCTTCAGTTTGTGATGTAGGTGTGAAACTACAATGTATATAGTTGTCTATATATGTTTAAGTATATTTTTCCGTTGTGGTGGGGTGCAGGTGTAGTATGGTGAAATGTGATGAAGTGACGGAGGTGAGTTCATACCGTTGCCCTCTGTACCGCTTTAAATTCTATTGGCCATCCTAAAACCATACCTGACAAATCCCGTGATGGCATGTCTCCCAGCAAAATCAATGGGAAAAACGGTGTCATCACAGTGAAGCGGCGCCCGAATGTCATTGGTGGACAGCCGTCCACCTTCTTGATACTTCAGCCAACCGCACACACCCCGATGACAAGCAACGCTTTTGATCTAGACTTGATCACTCTCTGCTTCTGCCTCTGGCCCTGCCACTGGCTACTCTTCTCTAGAAATCCATATCCTACTTTGAGCACTTGGTCATTTTGTAAGCAAGAACTAATTCGCTATTTGGGCGACTTTTCGCCAGAAAAGCTCTACGCTTCCCAATGCTTGGGTAGCTTCCTATGCTGCTGGCTACAGTACCTTTCTCTCTATCCCCAATGCCAGCTAATTACTCTTTTCTAGACAATTCACTCACTACAAATACACGACAGACTGACTGTGACTCCCTTGTGCAGCCACGACAACGAGTTCTGACTGCTCCGATTCTATTATTGCAGGGCCACATGAAGCACTTCGGACCACCTTCGCACACGTCACTTGCCTTCAACCGTCCTGGACCATCCCACACATGCTGGTCCACCAGAGTACTGTTTCGTACCCTGACAGATTTCTTGCTTCAGCACCCATGATCACAAACAGGCCAACTCTAACTGTTCATTACTCGGAACTTTTCTCTTCGAAACGTCCTGTGACTTCACTTCAAAGGTGTATTGCAAAGCATGCTCTCCAGTCCAAAACAACAGCAAATCCTACTGGCTAGAAAAGCTTGGTATCAAAAGCAGGATACATAGTGATGCATACTGTATTTACAAATCTGATCTTCTCTTCGATTCTGAGGCACTTGCCATGAAACAGGTAGTATTCATTGATCTCAGCCTCGGGTGAGGCATGGTCAGTCCATCAAGAAACAAGGGGTCAAGAAATGTCAAGAATATGGTCGTCGCAAAGCTAGTTGATCTAATTACTAACAGCAGGATTATCTCGGCAACATGTAATTGTGCAGCAACAATAAATTGACCGTCGATAAGGGTAATGCCCACCAAACTAGTTGTGCAATCAAATCTCTTCAGTACTCCAACGCCGCGGTACGTCTATAGGATCCACTGGTAGGTTGTGAGCGTCTCTCCAAACACTATGAAACCTGCCAAATCTTCACAGCAGTTCTCGCTGAGGCTGAGATATGGCAAAAAGGAAACACACACACAGTGAAGCAAATCCTTTCAAACATAGAGTTGACATACAAGCTTGACAAGCTGAGATATGTTCACAATTTAGTGCTGGGGGGTTGAGCTCATATTCTTGAAGGATTCAAGCAGTGCCGGCTTTGCTGTTTGCCACTGTTCGGGAGCTTTGCGAATGTCTTGCATACCTGGAGAGGGGCCAGCTAAAGGCATGCACCAGGGCAAAGGTCGCAACATTTTGGCCCAGCAAGGCAACAAACACATGGACTCTCACCTTTTGAGCGACAATGAGGTAACACTGCATGCTTGCCCCGAAGCCAATTCAAGCTTGCCCTTTTGTCTGTTAACAAAAAACGGCTGGCCGATCTGCTGTGCAAATCGTTCAGCATCGTGGATGGAGGACCTCGGCAGAGCGCCCTGAGGAGCTTGAGCTGTGAGCCACAGCCATGCCCAACACATCCCCCTGGGAATTGGGGGTCGATCCCATGTCAACCATTTTATAGCCTATAAACCTCGTTGGGGGGGGGGGGAACAGCCTATAGAATCACAATGCATGAAACGGCAAGACCGCAAGACACGCTATAGAATCACTTCCACTCAAAGGCAAAGGAGCCCGTTTGATTCAACAACATCACCAAAATGGCATCCCTATAAAATGGGTTCCAGCAAACATCAAGAGAACAGAGCACGCCAAAAAAAAATTTGGCAACAAACATGTGCAACGTTCCTCTCAGTCAGAAAAATCTTTTTATAAGACTGCCCTTTGCTGAGACATCAAAAGTTGAACATATAGCCAGAAACATGGGATCAGCAATGAGCACAACAGATTCTCTTTTCTCGCAGGCGCCCCATCGTCCTGCTCCGTTCTGCTCTAAAGTGAAACAGCAACATGCCCTTCGCCCTTCACACACTTCCTGCACTGTAAGGAAAGCACTCACAAATGTTCCGCAGCAAACTCAGTAATGGACGCCGGTCGCCCTTGGCCAAGCTATCCGAGATGTGCTTGAAGCATTCCACTACTTTGGCTCCCCAAGCTGCCTTTCTCAATCGTGAGTACCTTGTGTGCAGTGCATAGATACTCTTCACTATAGAATCAAGAAAGTTACCCTCAACTAGTCCTGAAAAGCATGAATCCCTATAAAATCAAGTTTCTTTACATGTTTTTCATGTGTGTTTCAATTGTTTTCCTTTGTTACTACATGTTACTACTGTAGTTCTTTCAAATCAGGACGGCCACGTCACGTTCTTTTTTATGTCCGAGACTGCTCTAAGAAACAATTCAACCCTATAGAATCAACATCTAAATTGGTCG